TACAAAAAATAAAAAAACTAGTCAGGTGTGGTGTCATGCACCTGTAGTCCCAGCTACTCAGTAGGCTGAGACAGTAGGATCGTCTGAGTCTAGGAGGTCGAGGCTGAGGTGAGCTAGGATCGTGCCACTAAACCTCAACCAGGACAACAGAGTGAGACCCCTGACTCAAAAAAAAAAATTGCAGAAAAGTATAAACAATGTAAATAGTCAATAACAAGGGAGTAAATATATGAGTATATTCATATAATAGAATAATAGCATACTATCCAGTGATTAAAAATAATGACTATTTCTTGAGATAAAAGTTGTTCACCATATTCTAGGAAATAAAAATTGCGGGTTAGTAAACAATCTGGATGTTGTGAGCCAGTTTTGGTAATGAAAAAGAGGCTACTCACATGCGATTGTGGAAGAAGACCCAAGTTGTTCAAAGGGGATCTCCTTGGCTGGGATGAGACAGATACCTCATTATCTTCTTTATTCTTACCTGTCTGTTAAAAAGTTTCCTCCATGAACTACCTTAACTTTATAATAAGGAAAATAAGATAAAAGTCATTAAAAAGAAGAATTTCTTCTATCACTAGACCACTGCTGTCCATTTTGATTTGGCTAAGAGACCTGCGTGATGGACTTTTTAACGAGTCTTAATAACGCAGGCTTTTTAGTGAGAATATTCACTCTGATGTCTGGACATCTCCTGTCTTTTACAAGCATCTCAGAAATCAAGGCACCTTTTGCTGATGTGAACACTCCCTAGTGAGATGAGAGAGTGCCCTGGAGGTGGTCAGCAGAAGAACTGCCTTGCCAGAGACATGCATTTCCTCACAGGAGACAGCACACGAGCCAGGACTGGAATTTAGCTGGAAGTACGCTCCCAACTTTGGGGGGTGGGAAGAAGGCATCTCGTGTTGACTACAGAAGGATCCCTCCCTCAGGGAGGAGGCAAAAGTGACCATTGGGATGGGCAGGTCCTGACTTTGGCTCTCAGGATCCTGGTTCAGTGGAACATTTCTCACTGTGGTTTACAGTTTTGAGGGTCTGGTAATCATGTGAGTTGATGGAGATATTGGAGTTGAGTCACAGGGGATGTTGGAATAAAGATTGGGAGGAGGGAGGGGGAGACAGATGGAGAGACAGACCGAGGAAGGAGGAGGAAGAAGAGGAAAAGGTGAAGAAATTAGAGACACTAAAATGTCACAGGGAGATCCCTGATTCTTGTCTTGTGGAGGAGGAGGAGAAGGGGAAAGTGGAAAGGGGAAGGGAGGAAGAGCTCTTTTTGAGATAAAAATATCTCAGAGAGTTAAGTTTTTTTCTTCTTCCAATGCCTGTTACCTGAAGAATCATTAAAACAACAACAACACACCTCGTAAGACCACTGCAATTGTCTGACAGACCTGGGAAGCCCAGCACAGATGATTAGAAAACTATCTCCCTGCCGCCCCTCTCTGCCCCCCAGGGACAGCACTTCTCAGTCTGTGGGATCAAAGGCTGCAAATAATTAATGAGCCTTTTCTTCCCAAAGGGCTCCCATGACAATAGCTCAACCTGTTAGTGATGTGATCTCTGCCTTACATGAGCTTGGAACCGGCTCCAGGAGAGGAGAGAGGTAGACAGGAAGGTGGGGAGAGGAGGGAGGGGAGGAAGGGAAGGGAGGAGAGGGGAGGGGAGGGGAAGGAAAGTCCAGTCACTTCCAGGCTGAGAAAGGGGTACTTGCAGGTGACTCTAGTTCCCAGCAGGAAGGAATACATCTAAGGAATCAGCCCAGAGACAAAAATGTTACACACGTGCACACACACACACACACACACTCTCTCTCTCTCTCTCTCTCTCTCTCTCTCTCTCTCTCTTTCTCTCTCTCTCTCTTTGCTCCAAAGCTGGGAAAGGGCTTATCCAGCCCTTGCTCAGCCAGGCCAATTTGAAAAGTTCAGAAGTCTCAAGCACACCAGCTGCAGAGAAACACTGCAGCTCTGTTTTCTGAGGGGTTCACAAGGTGGACCTTGGTGCTGGTGACTCTCTGTGGGTCCTGACTACTGAGCCTCCATCCTACTTTCTCGAATGAGCCTCCTGTATTTCCTTGGGTAGCTACCCCTCAGTCCCTCAGGGCTGGGCACTGGGTCCAGGGTGGGCCCAGGCACCAGGACTAACCCATTAGCACAGAACAACCTCCTGCTGTTTTGCTTGACTCAGAGACCTCAGCATGGGCCTTGGCCTGACTATTAATTGGGAAGGAGGGTGTCTCTTTCTGCTAGTAGGATGGAGGGCTAAGGTCAGTGGTGTCTCTTCCCTTTACCGATGTACAAATATGACCGAGGAAGAAGCCAGCTCAGGGAAAGCAGAGCTTGAGTGATGGAGAAGGACTATGTCTGAGCAACTGAATCTCATCAAGCCAGGGGCTCTCATCCCCACGAACTTTTCTATTCGGTGAGTTAACCCATATGTTCTTTGTCATAAATCACTCTGAGTCAGGTTCTGGTCACTTGCACCTGAGCATCACACTTGTGGTGACCAGACTTGCTATAGAAACATGATCTTCAGAACTTTCTATGTTCCAGCTTCTCCTCACAAGTCTCATCTCTAGTAATTTCTAGGCTGCTTGCTCTGACCGCCTCCTCTCACACAGTAGTAGTATGGGCAATGCTTGTTCCCAGTACTAGTCACTGGACATTTGCTCTCAATGGCTCAAATCCTGGCCTTGATGAATCCTGATGTCTCGGTTTTCCCAGTTGCCCCTGAGGCTAGAATCCTGTTCCCTAATTCAGTGTGCTGGGACTGCTTCCTGTGACCTGCCTCCCACTCTCCCAGCACCATGTTCTATCTGCCATATAGGATTTTCTTTCCTCTTTCCCAGTCAGGGACCAACCATGGTGGGCAGCTGCAGATGGAAACATCATCCTGGTTGACATCAGTCAAAGAGTCTTGAATCAGGAGGCTCATGACTTGAGCTCAAGCAAAGCGGACTTACCCCAGGAATGTGACCCCTGGGCCGAGTGACACTACAGTGGAGAATGGTTACAGCTGGTTTATCTTCCCTGCGAGGTTTTGAGGTGTCAGCCTATTCATCCTTGTAACTCAGAGACTCAAGGATGCCCTGGTTCCTGTGCTATCTCAAGCCAGTTCTTCTGTCATTCTTCCAACCCTTACATTAGCCATAGAATCTTCCTGCAAATTTCTCCTTTGCCTAAGTCAGCCAGAGTTGGTCTTCCTCAAACAACCCAGACTGACCCACCTCTCCCACTGATCATCCCACCTTAGTGGTACCTTTAGCTCTGGGTCCCAGACACCTCCACCTGTCCCTCTCCACTGCATTAACCCTTTCATGCTTGGTCATATCCCATTGTGACAGCAATGGGCAACTCCCAGGCTCAGCAAGATCAACCTTATTTTAATTCATCATATCCTCCCTTCCCCATCTCAGGAGTCCCTGCTTCCACCTTCTATTACATTGTTGCTCCCCTGCAGACACCCCAAATTTGTCCAAATACCTCCTAGTCTGTTAGCTATAGGTTTTCTCATCTAAGCACCTAAGGAAGACTTTCTCTTTGATGTTTAAATTGCATGTTTCCTCTGCCAGAAACCAAACAAGAAAAAAACAAGGAGAGAAGGAAAAAAAGAAAGGCGATTTCAGATTCACATTATTATAGGATCTGGTATTACTTCGCACATTTATCTAGTTCATCTGGCATTTCAGAAAGTTCAGTTGCAAAAATAAATCCACTTTTGGGATTGGGAAATAACTTTTGTTTCTTTCCTGCCAAGTTGCTCCACGGTGGCACAGCTGACCCAGATGCTGTGCTGCATTTTCAGGTGTTTTGAATCAGGAAAATAAGACACATGTTTATTATAAGTGTGTCCAGTACTTGATTATTTGTACCTCATAAGAGAAGAAGATTAGATTTTGGAAGAGAAGATTAATAACTTTCTTCTGCAGAGACAAGCGTGCATTTGGACCTGCATGCTGATTTAAGTTTATTGTGAAACAACATACCAATGAGGGCATCAGCACTGGATGCAGCATAAGTAGATAACGACCATTTAATTAAATCTCTTTATAAAATTACTTTCTATTTAGGCACCGGCAGAGCTTAAGAAATGAAGACAGAAATTTTTGAAGACTTTTTTTGGGGAGGAGGGACTTGTCATTCACTAGGCAGAGACCTCAACCCCAAGGGTGTGTTTCTTTTTTTTTTTTTTTTGAGTTGGAGTCTCACTCTGTCACCCAGACTGGAGTGCAGTGGCCGCTCCCGGCCACCGCAGCCTCGACCTGCTGGGCTCCGGCGATCCTTCCACCTCAGCCTTCCGAGTAGCCGGAATTACAGGCGCGTGCTACCATGCCCGGCTGATTTTTTGATTTATTGTAGAGACACGGTCTCGCCAAGTTGCCCAGGCGGGTCTTGAACCCGTGGGCTCAGGCAATCCACTCACCTCAGCCTCCCAAGGTGCGGGATTACAGGCTGAGCCACTGAGTCCGGCTGGGTGTGTTTCTAAGTACCAGGAAGTATCCCTGATAATGGACTTCGCAGACTGCCCTGTTTTCATCCCGATTCCTCTGCCACCAAGCTGGGTTGCTTTAAGGGAGTTACTGAGCCTCTCTGAATTCACAATGTCCGTATCTGTAGTTGGAGTTAGACACCATCTTTCTCATAAAGCCATGGTAACAAAAAAGTAGGTCAACTTTCTAAGTTGCAGGAGTCATACGCGGCGCCTCCCTTCTTTCTCCTTGGGGACAGTGTTGGTGGCGGCAGGCAGACCTGGATGGTCATTTGGGAACACAGTGCTGAAGCCACCCTCCTCGCCGTCTGTAATCAGAAGGCGGCACTGTCCTCACCAGAGAGCCCTGTCCCCTGGAGCCATCAGCCACATACGCTTCTTTATGACGCTTGCTCTTTCCTCCCACTCAGTTAATTTAATGGCATGAGCTCCTGACAACCAGCTTCTGCAACTGGAAAGAAAAAGCAATTCCTGCCCACCTCCCGCCTGCAGTTACAGAGTCGCTCACCCACCTGATGGTTTGATGCTGCAGGGAGTCGGGGTCTGTGGCGTTCACAGTCAACAGCACACTGCCCACAGAGATGTTCTCCCGCCGGGTCACCATCATGGGGTCTGGGTAGAAGACTGGACCCTCGTTGACATCCAGGACAGTGATGTGGACGGTCGCTGTGGAGCTGGGGCCGTAGGAGACGTCGGGGACCAGTGGGTCCTCGTTTTCCACTTTGATCAGCAGGGTGTGAAAGGCGGAAATCTCATAGTCCAGAGGCTGAAAAGCAGACAGAGGGGTCTCAGGGGTCTCATGGCTAAGGTGCGAACCGTTTGCACAAAGTCCCGCTGACATTCCATGGGCAATGTTGGGCGTTCGGGGACAGATGTGGGTCTTGTGGGCTAAGCCTGTTGCAATCTGGGGGTCCTCTTTAAGAAAAAGAATATGACATATGCAAATGCAAGATTAGGAATGAATGCTGCTAGTTTTATTTTTATTTTTACTTTTAGATTGAGAAGTGAATGACAACATGAGTGAGCCTAAGCAATCTGGATCCCTCCCTCTGAGATCTTTTTAGGCAACTCACTGGCAACGTGAATGTTGAAAGTCTTCCTGCCTGTAACCTGTAGCCCCGCCCCCCACTCTCATGGGGACTTTGGGAAATGAGAGACCCTGAAGCCCAAGTGTCAGTGGTTTCACAGTAAGATAACCCTGACTCTGTTATCGCAATAAATCAAATGGAATAGGTGAGCCAAGGTTTCATTTCTAAAGCTTCTCACTCACTTGCCACTTAAGTGCAGTGTCTCTTGGCCAAAGTGCATGATTCCTAGTGGGGTGTCATGTAGGAAACAGATTGGAGAGTTTGAGACACAGGGGGTTAGGCAGCTGGGCCTTGCCCCAACTGAGGTTATTTGAAGATGCATGGGGTTGCTTTCAATTGTCACCATGACTTGGGGGCTCTACAGCCATTTACTAGGCAGTGGACAGCAATACCAGACACCTGGCCATGCCCAGGACAGATCCACACAAATGCAACTGTCCGGCCCCAGTGCCCATGGGTAGCCCCCATGAGGATCGCTCTAGGGGATTTTGCAAAAGGGGTTGATAGTACCCACTTCCCCCAGCCACTACATCAGATGATGTCCAGACAACCCCAATGGGAATGTGATTCATATGGTGATCCTACTGATCGAGTGACTGTCACTCATTCCAAACCATGAAAGCCACACGATGCAGCGAGAATGACATTTCTCAGAGTAGGGCTCTTGGTAGAGGTGCATGGGGAGACATTAGGTAAGACGGAGGCAGACTTCTCATTTCAAACTTTATCTTCCTAACATTTACTAGGAAAGACAAGCAACTCACTCACCAGACCTATGCGCAATGGGCATTCTTGGAAGGAGGACAAGATGAAATGAATCAAGGGATATGGCTTACACTCAACTAAAAGTAAGCAAATAACAGTTGTGCAGCCTGTGATGGATACGGGAAAAGGGGGGCAGAAAAGAGGATGGTCGGAGCTGGGGAAAGAGCTCTGTAGACGCTGAGTTAGAGAGGCAATCTGGCAGGGTGGGTCAGGTGATTTCAGGCAAATTATGTTCCCCTTCATAATATTTATAGCTGACTTGTCTGTGGTACTAAGTGTACCACACATAGAGAGTATGCATGCGTGCACACACACAAGCCCACACAGAGATACACGCACGCACACCAGAAACGCTTCCTGGCTGTACCTGGACTTTCTCTCTTCACCTAGAACAATTCCCAGCAGGGTTTGCATCAGGATTTTAAGAGTTAAGTGGTGCAAAGCCCTTGGTGTCTAGTAGCTGCCCAGTTATATTTTCATTCTGTCTCTGTAACATGAGGTCCTCCTTTGGTTCCACTTTCTGTTCTGTGGATTCTAATAACGGATTTCTGTCCATCCCAAGGAATGCCCCGAATAGGCAACCTCAGTTAGGAAAACTTCAAGCAAGGGCCAGGGAGCTGCCATGCTGGAAAACACAGCTATTCATCTAACTTAGGACACCAAAGGGGACAGAGCCTTTGGCTTGCTGGGTTGTAATGACACCGAGGTCATCATTCTGAGTGGAACTGAGTCACAGAGCATCCCTTCTCTTGAGAGCCACGGTCACACCACACCAGCACTAAGCATAATCTTGGCCTAGTTTGGTCTGGCACCTGATTCCCCGGAGACTGTGAAAAGGCATGAGAGTGACAGGGTTTCTGAGGAATTCAGTAGTCTTGTTGACAAGTGAGCCGGTCATGATGGTTGGAAATAAGCAATTTGTGTTGCTCAGCTCTTTCTCCTCAGCTGGAGATTATGGGCTCCTACTTTCCAAGGGAACAATTCCCTCCTCCATTCCTTTTCTTCTTCCTTCCCTCCTGGGGGTATCATCATTTGCAACAAAAGTTGTTTAAGCTCCCTGGGAGGCTGCAGACAGAGACACATCTTTCACCCGTGAATACACAGCACTCAGCACAGTGTCCACCCCCTAGTAGGCTCTAAGTAAATACCATTAAATGAATGAATGAATGGATAACTAACTATAATTCTTATCTTTTACTCTAGCACGAGTCTTTAGCAACACAATTATCTATTATTTTGATGACCCAAAAATCTAATATCATGGGATATTTTTATCTTTCAAAATTTACCCCGTAGTTTTTTATTAAATAGAAAGACCAGGTGGGGGAGGGGCATGTCCTGGCCCTGAAGCATCATAACTGTGGGACCACCAGCAAGCCACTGCCCCTCCCAGAGTCTCAGCTTTCTTTTCAATAAAACCCTAGTACAGAGGATTGCTGTCAAGATCAGGGACATGATGAATGTGGACGCTTCCCACTGAGCTAGGCCTGGCATCGATATCAATAACAAGAAGCTGTTAAAATGGCAAAGAAGAAGAATGTGGGTGAGAGGGCTGGAAGAGTCATTGCCCCAGCCCCAGTTTTTCTAGTATGCTCCCAGGCCGACACTCCCTGAATGGAATATTGGCTTTGGTGGAACTGAGCCTTGAAAAATGCCAAAGAGGGAGGGAGGCGTGAGAGAGGGGTCATAGAGGGAAAGAGAGCGGGAGAAAGGACAGGAAGGAGGGGGGAGAAAGAGAGAGACAGGAGGGAGAGAGGGAGAGAGGGAAGAGGGAGAGAATGAGAGAGAGAGAGAGAGAGAGAGAGGAGGAGAGGAGAGGAAGGGAGAGGGAGAAAGAGAAAGAGAGACCCAGAGAGACAAAGAGAAAGGGGGGAGAGAGAGAGAGCCTGTGAGGGAGAGCAGCACATGAGGCTGGCTTTTCCTAGGAAGCAGAGACTCACTACCGTTTATTTCCATTTGCCCAAGGTGGAGCCGAATACTCCCAGCTGCATGATGGCCAGGGCCAGGCCACCTGGAGCTTGTGAGACACGGTCTCCACTCCCAGTCCCATCTGAGGGTTGTAACTGGGTTAATAAGCCCTCTGTGATCTTGACACACGACCTTATTGACGTGCTTTGTCTGATGCTGGGCCTCTGTGTCAGGGATGGGAGAAAACGGAAAGCTACCAAGATGTGATGCAGTTAGTATTTTTTCAAGTGTAAAGAGAGGGTACAGACCACTGTCCTGGAAAATTTAAAGGCTGAACAGTTAATACCTATGGGAAGAACGGGGGACCTGGTGACCATTGACTGGAAGAGAGAAGATTCAGAAGGGGTCCCGTAATAATTTATAAGCCTGTGAAAGGGTCGGGAATCAAGGATGCTGTCTGGATACTTCCTTCTTTGAAGACAGAAGAGAAAATAGACTTAAAATGCATGGCTGGTTCTACTAAGCTGAAATATTAACTTTCTGATTATTTTTGAATAGGTTTATAAAGCAACTTAGGGTGTTCCTGACCTGGAGGTCTTAAAGGTGAAACAAGTCCTCACTTTTGAGAGCCATGATTTTGTCCTGGTGGGAGGCAGGGCCCCCTGGAAACCAGCACTGTCCTGGGACTCTGGCTGGTTCTTCCATGTACTGGACTGCTAACCGGCAGGGCAGACCTCCTTGTGGTTGGCTACCTGACAGTCATTACTAACTCCCTTCTTCCTTACCCACCTCTTACTGTAGAGCCCAAAAGGCCAGATTTAGATTCTCTCAGTCTTCCTTTAAGTTAAGGATAAACATATGTCATTGGCCAATGAAACATCATGGGAAATTGACTGAGAAACCCTTGAATTTCTTCCTCCCTGACAAGAGGAGGGGGCACATGAGAGCACTCTCTCTCACTTGCTTGGCTGCCTCCTTAATCTCTTGCCTTGGGATACCACTGGGGGAGGATATGATGGTTGGGGCTTTGGAAGCCATTTTATGTCCAAGAGGAAAAAGCCAGAAGCATCTGAGGTATCACCCACCACCAGCTCTCTGACACCTTGAACTGTCGTCCAATCCCAGACTGGCCTACCTTCATCTAGTTATAAAAATTCTTCTGAGGTGAGTGGATTGCCTGAGCCCACGGGTTCGAGACCCACATGGGCAGTGAGACCTCATCTCTACAATAAATTAAAAAAATCAGCCGGGCGTGGTAGCCCATGCCTGTAATTCCGGCTACTTGGAAGGCTGAGGCGGGAGGATCGCCAGAGCCCAGAAGGTCGAGGCTGCGGTGGCCAGGAGCGGCCACTGCACTCCAGTCTGGGCGACAGAGTGAGTCTCCAACTCAGAAAAAACCAGAACAAACAAACAAAAATTCTTAAATTCTCTTTATTGTTTAAACCACTGTCAGTCTGGCACTCTGTAACTTGCAGGAGAAAGCATTTCTAATGGACACATGGAATGGTTAGGATACCAGAGAGCACCAGGGAGCACGATTGGGCCTGCTTCTAGAAGGCTGTCCTGGGGCGTTGTCTCATGTGTACTGAGAGGCTGGAGGTGCTCAAGGCCCTTCCTACTGACTTATGCAGCAGGCAGCCATGGAGTCTGCATCCCAATTCTGCAGCAGAGGAAGTCCACTCACAGTAAAACTGAATCCCAGAGAGAGTCCCAGGCTCTGTGGATACCTCCTTCCCAGGAATTCCCAGAGAGGGCCAAGGTGCTAGCCATGCCCCATGACAAGGACTGTGCCCCGTGAACAACACAACTGCCTGGCACACCTCTCCCCCATTTTTTCTGACTTAGCAGGTCTGGAGCAGGCCCAGGAATCTGCGTTTTAACTAGCATGCTGGATGATTCTTTTATGTGCAAACATTTGAGAGTCATAGCATTGTGGACCAATACAGGAATGTGCGGAGAGGAGGACAGCTCCTTCCTGCATATCTAGTTTTGCTGGTATCTTGTTTTCCTCAAGCTGCAGCTAACATACGCTGGGGAGAGCTGAGCTCCTCCAGGATTTGTGATGAAGACGCATATTTGCCCAAGTTTTATCTCAAGCTGTAGGTTTGTTTGGAAAATTGCTTGATGGCTTTTATAGACTCAGGACTAGCCACAGAGGGCAGCATGAATGCAGGAGGCCAGTGGCAGGGTCTCCTAATAACATTGCCTTGCTGTTGCCTGTGTTATTGGGAGGCCCAGGAGCTGAAAAGGGGCAGGACTTGAGAGAAACCAGATCCCTCATCCTCTGGAATAAGCTGGAAGTGTCTCTGAGATCTGCCATTCTCAGTGGCTCTGGGTCCTGCCCCTGGGAGTGTTGTAGAGCTTTGTCGGTGCAGTTGTGGTAGGATGAATAATGAGCCCCCAGTATGTCCCCATCGTGATCCCTGGAGCCTGGGAATATGTAACCTTATAGGGCAAAAAGACCTTGCAGATGTGATTATGTTAAAGACCTTGAGAGAGGAGACCGTCTTGGATCATCCAGGGAACTCAGTGAAATCACAAGTGTGGATATAAGATGGAGGTGGGCGAGTTCAAGGAGGAAGCAGAAGTCGTGATGATGGAAGCAGAGGGCCAGAGTCAGGGAGACCTGGAGGTGTTGCCTTGCTGGCTTCGTAGGTGGAGGAAGGGGCCAGGAACCAAGGCATGTAGGTGGCCATTAGGAGCTCCAGCTTCTAGTTTCCAGCAAGGAAATGCCAGGAGAAACACAGCCCTGGCCACACTTTGATTTTCAGCTCAGTGAAACTCATGTTAGACTTCTAATTATAAGATAATAATAAATTCTTTTTTTTTAGCCACTGAATTTTGGTAATTTATTGTAGCAGCCATAGGAAACTGATCCGGCAATAAGTGCCAGCCACGTCCTGAACGTTTTACCTACTGGCTTCTGTAATCCTGGCAATTGCTGTAGACTGAATGTTTATGTCTCCTCAAATTCCTTTGTTGAAATCATAGCCCCCATTGTGAGGGCATCGAGGAGGGGGGCATTTGTAGGTAATTAAGTCATGAAACGGAGTTCTCATGAATGGGACTAGTGCCCTGAAAAAGGGATGCCTCATCCCTTTCACCAGGTGAGAATACAGTGAGCAGATGGACACTTATGAAAAAGTGGACCCTCACCAGATACAGAACCTGCAGGCACCTTGGTCTTGGACTTTCCAAACTCCAGATCTGTGAGAAATAAATGTCTGTGGTTTATTAGCCATTCAGTCTATCGGACTTTGTTATAACAGCCCAAATGGATTAGAACGACAACCCTAAGAGGTAGGTCATATTATCATTCTCATTTTGCAAATGAGGTAACCGAGGCACCGAAAACATAGGTATTTTGACCAAGGGCACCCAAGGGGAAGGCAGCAGTGTTCCCACTCTGCCCGCTGCTGGTATAACTACAAATACAACTCTACTCTTTGCTTTTGAGGCAAATGGCCTCACCCACTAGAAAAGAAAATCTGTCCCAATGAAGGTCCTGGTTTCTGGCAGAAATTTTCCCTAGAACTTCCCAGAGAGAGTGGAACGCTATAAAATCGCCTTCTTCCAGGATACCAAGACCACCTGCATCACACCATCAGTGCCCCACCCCCACACCTAACATTTCTGGACTCCTGGCATGAGCCAATGCTTTCCATTTACGATCACATTCCCTCCTCGTTTCACTCAGAGCTGGAGAGAGGCCAGTGTGCTAGTTAGCAAGGCTCACAGAGGGTTTCCCATCAAGAATTATTATGTGTGTGTGTTTTAAGAGAATAATTGAGACTGCTAAGAAAGAGTAAGAGGAAGCATAATGGTCCATGTTTTCAGCATAGATCTTTTTAAAAAAAATCTTCATGGATCCCATTTCGGCACATGTTTTGATAATTTGTTAGCAAATGTATGAAGCATCTCACTTAAAACTTAAGCTAGGCATCCTTAAAGTTACACACAAGTCTGAGTTTTTCAGAACCTGTAAAATGGGTTCATTTTATGGGTGTCGATTTATGCTGCTGAGGATATGAGTGAATGCTTAACCTCGGATCCTTTCTCTTTGTTTATTCCCAGAGGGATGGGAATAGGAGAATGTATCCATGACCAAACTCAATGATTCCACGAGTCACCTCCGGGGACCCTCAGTACTCATACAAGGGGACAGGAGCAGTGGAAAACACCCTTACTTTGACAACGGAAAGCATCCCCTCGTTGGTCTGTGGGTTGGTGTGGATTTCAAAACTCTGCCCTGGGTTTCCATTAATGATGGTGTAGGCGGCCCTCCATGCACCCGTGGTGGGATCGTCCTTGTCTTCAACTGTCAAGTTGACAATAACTCCCACAACTCCTTCCTCAACTGTGGCTTGAAACTGCAAACAAAGCAGATGGTAACCGTCACGATTTTGGAAAGACGTAGCAAAGATCATTTACTACATGCTTTGTATTGGGTATATTACACACATCATCTCACTTAATAATAAATAATAACATAGGTGGATTATGTCCGAAAGATGATAAGGTTCACCTCTTGGCTTTCCTTGAACTTAGGTGAGGCTGCGAGACTAACTCTCTCCTACAGAACGTGGGCAGGGATGATGTTCACCATGGCTGGGCTGGGCCGCACTGGGATAGGAGGGTTAAGAGAACAGCTGTGCCTCCCCTCTGCAATCTTTTACCCTCCGCCTATCTGAATGCAGAGGACCACAAGAACTGAGAGGAATGGGGAACCACAAGGGAGAAGGAGCTTGAGGACCTAAGTCACTGCGTGGAGGGGAGCAGCGTGGTGGCCAAGAACACTGGTCCCGAACTATCATTGAATGAGAAACAAACTTCACTTGAGTTCAAGCCATTTTTGTTTGCATTTGTTCTTGCAGCCTCGCCTCCCCTAAACAACAAGAGGACCACATGAGCAGAGCCCTTAGACTCCTAAGTGAGGGCCTGGGATTTGAAGCCCAGTGTTTGACCCCTGCTTGACCCCACGATCTTCTTTGATGAAGAGAACCAATCCCATTCTCCCCCTCTCTTGCTCACTACTAAAATGATCTTAAAAATCATTTTCTGAGAAGTCATCCAAATCAATTGTTTGGAGCCTTGTTGTATCTGTGTTCTTACTGTAATACATCTCAAATACTTGTTGCAAGTAGGTGTGGTGAAAATAAATCAATAAATAAAAAATCGGTTTTCCTATAGATAGAGAATTTTATAAGCTATCATGAGCACATTCCTTTGAACTGGAAGCATAAAGTATTGTTTTGGTGCTTACCTCTGACACACTACAGGTGAATAGTAATCTGTTTGCAAATATTTTATAAACAAGTAATACCAATAAGCTGACAAGAAGAAGAAATATCTTGGAATTTCAATTAGTAGGAAAGTGAGTCTAGAGACAGCAAGATGATGTCAAAAAGCCCTTGTGTTCAAAGAGAAGTAATTTGAGAAATGAGGTTTCAAAAGCAGCAACTGATTAATTGACTTGCAAATCATTAATCATAAGCCTTAATCCTGATACCTTGCGGGGGATGGGGCAGGGACTGGAACTAATTTGTCTATTGCACCTCAGTAAACCTGGATGAGTTGTTTGCCTTCCATAAAAGGAGTGCTGGAAAATTCTTAGACCATGTAGGGAGGGTGGAACACAGCTGGGAAAAATACTGAGGATGCTATCACATCAAAACAGCTCCTGGGACTTGAAGTCCAGCGCTTGACCCCTGCTTGACCCCACAGTCTTCTTCGATGAAGAAAACCAATCCCATCCTTCCTACCTCTTGCACCCTACTAATATGATCTTAAAAATCATTTTCTGAGAAATCATCCAAATCAGGGGCCAATTATTTTGATCAGATTCCTCTGATTCTTGTTTAAGTAAGATCTACCTGTACTACTTTCTTTTTTCTCCTCTCACAAAACCCACAAAATTCCTGAGCTAAAAAATGGCATTTGTGGTTCTCAGCCCTGCCTGCACTCTAGAATCTCTTATGTCTGATTCAGTAGGTCTGGGGTAAGGCCTGGGATTCAGTGTTTTCTTAACATGCCCAGATAATCCTAATATGCAGTTTGGGGAGGAACATGATGGAAGGCAGATGGGTATTAATGAGAGTGCCTACTCTTGTGGATGGGTGAGGTGGTCCTAGCCTGGCGTGGAGGGACCTGCGGTGCATCTGGGCTCAGCAGGAAGGAGTGCTGTGATCAATTAGTGCTGTCTGCTGTGTGTCCAGGAGTAGACCTGGTGACACATGTGCTATCTAATCCCTTAATACTGCAGATGAAGATGGCTGCACAGAGAAGGAAGGAAGGGTCTTGTCCAAAGTTGTTAGTGAACAAAAGATCAGACCTAAGTCTCCTGGATTTCAGCAGTCTCTGCTCTCAGCCAGTTCTGCCCAAATGCCCACCTCAGATCTCCATGGTGCAGGCCAGTCCTTTACTCCTTCTGTGGTTCAGAGCCAGAGGATGAATTCTCTGTCTCTGCTGATCACAGAGGATATCAACTCATAACCTGTTCTGGTGGCTCTTCTGATAGTTGTACCTTAGGAAACCAGGTAATCAATTATGTGGGCATGAGTCAATTAGAGGGTGCTGGGAACTGAACCACCAGTCAGGTAGGAATGCTGTTAGGTCCAGTACATGACTGAGAAGTTGCTTTGTCAAAGCAGGTGAGTGTCATGTTACCAAGATGAAAACACTATAACAGACCATGATTTGAGGAGGTTGGAGGTTCCATGTGCACCTATCTTGTTCATGACTTTATCTCCAGTCCCTTGCGTGGCACTAGGTACACAGAAGGGACTCCACAGACATTTGTTGAATGAACGAATGGTCTTAAATATAGAAAGGAGGGAGGACCTGGGAGCAGAGATGGGGGGAGAGGGGAAACGTGAAGGGATAAAGCCATACAGGAGCCATACCAAGAGGGACTGACTCATTGATTGATGTCTGATTCTGTCATTTGCCTGAATGTTCCAGAAGGGCAGGGATGGACTGATCTCCCTTGTTCTCCAACAGAGCTGCATTATAACTTTTGTCTACCCCAGGCACTTTTACCTTCATTGACCTCTCCTACCATTATAGATTTTTTCACAAGCTTTAAAAACTTCATTTTTAAGATGTAAGAAAAAGACTTACATTTTTTTCTTTTACTCTAAAAGTTCTTTTTTATCTTGTCTGATTGTAGGGTCCTAGCACCATGCCAATGGTGCCTGCTGGATGAGTTAGTGCTAGTCCTCAGTACATAGCACAGTGGCCATCACATGAAAAGGCCAGAAGATTGAATGGATGGATGAATTAATTAATAAAAATGATATTTAGGTCATGTCTGAGTGAGACAAGCCTGTGTGGCTTCTTCCATGATGCTTATATTTTCATGTTTTTGGCCCTACCCAAGGGGCTGGCACAGAATACCTTGCTAGTGTGAGCAAATGAATCCAAGTAGGATGAGAAGGTGGGGATGCTCTAGGAACTCTCAGAAGTGTGTATTGTGGCCCTTATATGTAGGAATGGGTCCACAGCTATATTGACCTGGTGTCCATTCATTCATCCATTTATCTATCTATCATCCATTCATCCATTTTCCATCCACCCCTTATCCATCCATCCCTCCATTTATCCATCCCTTCATCCATCCATCCATCCACCCATTTGTCCATCCATCCATCCATCCATCCATCCATCCATCCATCCATCCAGGGATGCACTAGTAAACACAATAGCTACGGTATATTTTTCATGGAAATTACAGGCTGGAAGGATATATATATATACATATATGTGTGTGTGTTAACTGCTATGAAAAAAAAATCACATAGTTCTTGGGGGCATCTGTAGCAGCGTATATGTGAAGAGGTGGGAACCTGACCCAGTCTTGGGAAGATCATCAGGGAAAATTCCCTGTGAATTGAAAGAAGAAGAGGCCTTAGTGAGGTGAAGGGGGAAAGAGCATTCCTGGTGTCTGGAAGAGCAGGAGCAAGGCCAGGTGGGAGGAGGAGGCACAGGAGCGTTTGCGGAACAAAGGGAAGCTGGGTGTGGCTGGAATGCAGGGAGGGCTGTTTGATATTGGACTCCAGAGGTGGATAGAGTCAGATTAAGCAGGACTTTGTGGGCCATGGAAAGGCATTTGGGATTTATTTTGAAAGCAAAGTTTAGTCTAATCAAGGAACTAGGTTATGTTTAAATCTACTCCTGAGAACATTCAGGAAAAAAAATCTTTAAATATAGAAAACATTCAACACAATTATTACAGTCTTTGCTAAGACCATTATCTGATTCCTGCATAAACTATAAAGTCAGTTTCTTTGAGTATCCATTTAGAAACTCATTATTGCTTAATTAAATACTCATTCTATTAATTCTATTCAATGTTTTAACCCCATTATGTAATTCAAGAATGGAAAATTAAATAGATTAAAATGAAATAGCACCATTTTACATTTCTATAGCAATGCTCACTCTATGATTTAAAAACAATAGACAGATATTAATTTACTACACCAGAGCAGGAGGAATTACTGATTGTAACATTACTTCCTTTAACTGGAAAAAATAGATAAAGTTACTTTTCTGTTAAACTGTGTGACAAATCAAATACCAGATGCAAAATATTTTTTACACAATCATTGTGGGTCATTGGCTTGTTGGGACTCTGTTCTAAGGCTTATTAGCTCTTTCCTCCAAAGTAAAAAATGAGTTATTTTGTTGTTCTATCTTTGACAAGGTGGGGGGAGTTACATGATGGACATTTAGGGTGAGGCTGCCTGAACTAGCCACAAAAGTCATTGCCAGAAGGAAGAGGGACTTGAATTTCATTATGCACACTCTTCCTCATAGAGCAAAAAGTTGATCCTGAGGTTAACCTGGAAGATGGGAATAATGATTACAGGCTGCAAACATCACAGGTGGGGAAGAAGTGACAGCAAATGATTTTAAGGGACTGGACATATGCAAGTTCCATGCTTACGTGCTTGACTACTTGTATACTTGACCTGACTCCCTAGGTTCATGGCTGTCAGCTCTAAAGTTTCACAGAGAACAGATGCTGAACTTGAAAAGTTGGGATGTGGGCACCTGGACCTTGGCTTTGAAAAATTAAAGTATAAATTCTCAGAAAGATTTATAAACTTAATTTCTATTTGTGAGGATAAAAGGGTAGGGGAGAAATTATAAAAATTTCACTTGCAAACACTCTTAAGAATCTATGTTTACATAAAGGATACAACTTATTGGAAGAATCTTGCTGATAGTGTAATGGCTAGTGACTGTGACTGATATAAATCAGATAATGCATTGAAAGAGCTTGGCAAATTGCCTGGCAAACGTATAATAAGGAATCAATATCTGTTAGCAATAATAATGATGATGGATTTTACTCTGTATCACATGA